CCTATAATTACTGACACTCATTCAAGAGATGAAAAGACTAGATCGGGCACTAAAAGTTTACAAAACTACACTTTAACGCTACACTAATAGTTATGTGTATTAACTTATTACTTACTTAATACTTAGTCATGTGTAATGCTACACTACTTACGGTGTCGAAAGCCGAAAACCCAATGCAAAGATCTATAATAGACACAGTTATTCTACCCCACTTTCATAGGGTGACAGATAATAGGATTAAACAAAGCCGCCAGATTTATCCGTAATTTGATAAGGGATATTGGTTATCATAACTTAATCCGTTGATGGGGGAGGGATACACTAAGAAGGGACATTTATTGTCTGATATATTGGTTTGTACTCATCATTCATAACTTTGCAAATTTGCTTTGAAGTAGAACTAAGGTTCTGTATTATTCATAATATGTACGTGTAAAAAAAATTGGGTGAAACGGTTATGCAGAAATTGCAGCCAAACTCACCTCGGAGACTATATGAATAATAACGTGCCAGACTAAGAAATCCTCGGTATTATCAATGCGCTAAGATATCTAACCCCCTAACCGACGATTTGGTTCTGAGTAGTTAGGTGGGAAAAAAAGCAACTAACTTAACCTTTATCTTATGAGCCGTAAATTTCATTTTGGTATGACATCCAGATTGCATCATTAGTGAATGATGTTTTAAGAAACTTCTTAAGCGAATTTGATCTTTAACGTATAGGTACTGTAGTATAGGACTTACTCTAAGAGTAGAAATACTGGCTGAATGAATATAGGTTTGTGTTTAGAATATATTTTAAAAAATAAGAGAAAAAAGATAAGAAGATCTTGGCAATTTGAAACTAGATTCCAAATTGAATACACGATACAATTGTATCTAATGAGTTTTCTTATAGACAGAATCTCTGGTAGGCAGGATCTAGTGCATGTAAATAGAATGAAAAGGTTCTATAGTGGGTAGTTTAATGTTTTTTTAGTTTCTAGTAGGTTTGTTAATCTTTTGTGTTTGTTTTCATATGGAGCCATGATGACATTGTGACGAATTTTTGATAGAAGTTGTTATTTTCCGGCGAATACAGACTTAGAAGGACGGGTAGAGAAGATGGACTACCGACTTGGATACATATAACTTACTTTTTATTTTATTTTTTACAGGTATATTGTCCTGTGTGTGTGCATAGTTCGTAGTCTCCCAGATGAATAAGAAGTGTCTGCATTCAAGGAAAATATATTTGTTGAATTATTAGGAATTCCCCATATGATATATCGCCATACCATATGTGTGTTAGGAAATGTTGTTGTCCTAACAAATTACCCTACCCTAAATTACCCTAGTAATTTGTGTGTTATTGCTGGTTTGATTAAAGAAAGTGAGAAAAGGTAAAAGGAACGTGGATAGCTGCAGGATGAGGACTAAAGCAGTTTAGAGATCAATGTTGATGTTACCCAGTGATTGCCCGATGGGTGTTCAAGCCTATGTCGTCGTCGTGGCAGCGTGCGCGTTGAAGATAGTTTAGTGATGCAGTTAGGAAGTTCTAGTAGTGATGTTTAAAGATTTGTTAGGGACATTCAGCCAAGATAGGGTTTAGGATTTAGGGAGTTAGGATTTAGATAGCTTACCTAGTTAGTGAGGGTTTTAGATGAAATAAAGTCTTAGGGCTTTAGATAGGTTATCTGATTAGCTAGGATAGCTAACGAATAATTATATGTCGAATTGTTTGATTAGGGTGTGATGACCACACCCTAATCAAATGGTCTGTCCTTTTAGATAGGTTTTTGGCAGACTGAAGCCACAGCCTCCTCTGTGGTTTGCTTGTTGGTAAATTAGAAGCTTCCGAGCAGTGTGTGGCTAGCCTAATGTTGTTATCTGTTGATGTTAAGTGATAAGCCAGTGTTAATAATAACAGTTTATATGCCGGTTAACTGCATTGACAATATGATAGAGTTCACTGATTGCCTAGGTCATTTGAACGCTATAACCGAAGACAATGAAATTGAATCTGTGATAGTTTTAGGAGACTCTAACTCGCACCCTAACGAATTGTTTTATAATGAATTAATGTGTTTTTGTGACGAGCAAGAGTGGATATGTACTGATGTAGGTAAGTTAGGTTTAGACTCTCAAACGTTCACATTTATTAGTGATGCACATGGCAGCAAACAGTGGCTAGACCACTGCATTGTCAGCTTGGCCACTTGTGACTAAAGCTTATGTAAAACACGATGTGTACTGGTCCGACCACTTTCCTTTGTTCCTACATTGCAATTTTAATGTTAGTCTAAATAAGGTCGTATATCGGCCGACAAATGATAATAGTGTGCTTTGGGGAGTACGGTCGCCTAAACAAATAGAACAATATACCATGTTATGTAACAATACTTTAAAGGATATTGAGCTACCTTTAGAATTAATTAAGTGTTGCGGACATTTCTGTGACAAGCGTCACCATAAAACTTTAGTAAAGAATATGTGTGAAAATATTGTTTCATGTTTGTGTTTGGCATCGAGTACCCATTGTAGTGATAAATACCGACGCAGGAAACGTGTTGTTGGCTGGAACCAGCACGTAAGACATGCGCACGCGGAGGCTAAGTCGAAGTTCGAATCGTGGAAATGGCACGGGTGCCCATCATCAGGTCGTATTTATACCGAAATGATTGAGGCTAAGAAAGTTTTTAAGGGGAGACTTAAATGGTGTCAAAATCATCAAGAGCAAATAATAATGGATAAACTTGCTTTACACCACTCTAGCTCTGATTTTAGTAGCTTCTGGAAATGTACTAACAAGTTGAATGCGTCTCATAGTCTCCCCTTAAGCGTGGATGGTGTGACTCAGGCACAGAATATAGCCAACCTTTTTAAGGACCATTTCAAAGTCAAAGCACTACTGGGACCGTCACAGCATGTGTCGGGTGTTGAGCAGCTTAATGGAATGGTTCCTACTCTGATCAAAGCGGAAGACGTTCGTGTGGCATTACGAAAAATGAAAAAAGGGAAATCCGGGGCATGACGATCTAAGTATAGAGCACCTACGGAATGCGGGAGTGCACTTGCCCAGAGTACTAGTATTACTTTATAACCTTTGTTTGAGTCATTCATACCTACCGCCATGACTTATGCGTACTTTAGTAGTGTCTATAGTGAAAAATAGGACAGGTGACGTATCTAACAGGTCGAATTACAGACCCACTTCTCTAGCGACAATCGTAGCCAAGGTGCTTGACGGTGTGCTCAACTCACGCCGCCTGGACGAACATCTGCATTTACACGATGCCCAGTTCGGCTTCCGACCTGGGTTATCCACTGAGAGCGCCATTGTGGTGTTGAAGCATACTGTCAAGTATTACACTGATAGGCAAACAGCGATTTTCAGTTGTTTTCTAGACCTTCCTAAGGCATTCGACCTAGTTAATTACGACATCCTCAGCAGCAAATTGAGGTCGACCGGGTTGCCAAGTAACCTTTTAAATATTTTTCAATATTGGTATAATAATCAAATTAATGTTGTGAGGTGGGCAGGTGTACTGTCTTCACCGTATGTGCTGGAATATGGAGTAAGGCAGGGGGGGTTGACCTCCCCTAAGTTATTTAATTTGTATATGAATGCGCTGATCAAGGAGCTTAGCGGCACTCGTGCGGGTTGTTTTATAGACGGGGTTAGCTTAAATGACATCAGCTACGCCGACGACACGGTGCTGCTGGCGCCATCGATCGGTGCACTCAGTGAACTGCTTAGCATATGTGAAAGATACGCTATCTCCCATGGGCTTGCTTATAACACAAATAAAACAGTATACATGGTGTTTAAGGCCCCGGGCAGGAAGGATCCGGATATGACACTTCCTGTTTTCTTAAATAGAGCTCCAATTAGCAGAGATAGTCAGTTTAAATATCCAGGCCACTATTTGACTGACAATTTAAAGGATGACGTAGATATTGAACGGGAACGTAGAGCGCTGGCGGTGCGGGCGAATATGCTGGCTCGCAGATTCACTCGGTGTACAGCCGCAGTCAAAATAACGCTATTCAGAGCATACTGCACCTCGCTGTACGCGGGTGCGCTATGGTCGAGCTGTTCGCAGCGCTCGCTCGGTAGACTGCGCGTCCAGTACAACAATGCCTTCAGGGCGATGTTGGGGCTGCCACGTTTCTGCAGTGCGTCCACTATGTTTGCCGAAGCGCGAGTGGATAGCTTTAATGCTGTGTTGCGAAAGAAGATGGCTTTGCTTTTGATCAGAATACGTGGCAGCACTAACAGCTTTCTGATGACGATAAAATGTGAGTGCTCAATAATGCAACACTTAATTAACAATACTTTGTCGTGTGTCAAATATGTATTCTAACGCAGTCATAAGTAAAATACTAACAAAATGTGGATCTAGTTGTCTGAATAAATGAATTTTATTATTATTATATTATAGTGAAGGCTGACCACTTATGTAAGTTGCCTATCATAGGTAGGGTATCAGCTAGAGATGTGCACCCCTTCAGTTGTAAGGAAGAGGGATGTAGTATAGGATCTACTCTATGAGTAGAAATACTGGCTGAATGAATATTGGTTTGGGTTTAGAATGTATTTAAAAAAATAAGAGAAAAAAGATAAGAAGATCTTGGCAATTTGAAACTAGATTCCAAATTGAAAACACGATACAATTATATTTATTGAGTTTTCTTATAAAAGTACCTCTACGCAAGGCAATCTGAGTTATTCTATAGTACTTACTTAAATACAGAATACAAATTTCCTTTAACACTTCTCTGTAAAATGCATAAAGAGGCTTTCAGAACCAAGAGATCGGCTACGGGGTCAGGTATCTTTGGGCATCGACTGTACTACGAGTACCAAAATAACGGAATTTACTCCAGGAACTTACTACCTCATTTCCCAAATTGGTCCTACTGGAAAGAGAAACCGAGACATCATCATCATCACCCACAATGCATATTGTTCGGCCACTGAGGTCGTTAATAATTTAATATTGACATTGAATACTAACCTGAAAGTCAGCAACCCCCAGTTCTCCATAGCTCCAGCTTTAAAATCAGGCAGCGCGATCATGTCTATCTTCGGCAATGGAAATTTTATCTTGTAATAATCCTCTAAGAATTTCAAGATCTTAGGACCAATATGCAAGGCATACTTCGCAGTGGACAATGCCTCTTTCCGAGCCCAAACTGAAAAGTCCTTATCTGTCATATTCGCAAAATCTGTTACTGCAAAAGCAACCAGATACGTTGACATAGGAAGTGATTCAGCATAATGATCCCATGTGTAATTTGGAATTGTGGCACTGTAAAAAATTAAAAATAAGCTAATTTTAAGATTTAAAGTCAATAGAAGTCTTTCTTTTTCGGGTTTTCGATTAAAGCGGATCTCACACGGCGAATATTTATTTGATGTAAGTTTGCGTGAAGCCGCACATTGCTCCAAATATAGGTACCGTACCACCAGCCGCGCTACCGTGGCATAGGGTTCCACCAATTGACAATCTAAACGACGGTAATAGTGTAATTATAAAGATTACATTTTCAAGTATGTAGAAGGTAATATGCAGCAAATGTCAAAACTTACTGTGACTCTCTTCTGACCAAGTTCATATTAGAAATGGAGCTCATGTTTATTTGACGAGCAATGCTGATGGTGAAACGCGCCTTTAATGCTGGCTCATCAAAGCACGGAAAAGCGCGCCGAGCATCGGTCGCTTGAAACTGGGTTACTGCTATCCATCTGTGAAACACATCATGAGAAACTATTAAATGATTTACAACGATGCAGTATTCGGTACAGCTTCCATCTCAAATCAAATTTTTTATTACACACATAACAACGTTGGGCTTTAACAACGGTTCAAAGTTGGCATACACTTTTGAACATAGTAAACATCGTGATTAAGTTTAACAATAGTTATTATACAGAGTGTTCTTTTTTTATGGGACAGTATGGGGAAATCCGAAATCATATACAAGGAAACTGTGTTAGGAACCATTAACTCTTTTTTATGACAACAATTTTGGCATAGTCAATTCATTGGTCATGCGTGAGTTGTCCATAAAAATTAATAAGATTGATCAAAGTTTTTTTTAGTACGTAGCATGTGACGAAAAAAATCGGGACAGCGGAAGTTGGTCAAATTTCATAAAATATTTTTTCAATGCTGATAGACTCAGTTTCTTACAAGAATGATTTTATTGTACTGAAAGAAAAGAACCAGGACAGCGGAAGTTGGTCAAATATATTAAAACGTTGTTCATTTTGTATGAACAGTTTTTATAGTAATATTCATTTTTATGGACAACTCACGGTTGACCAAAAAAATGATTATGCCAAAATTGTTTTCATAAAAAAAAACTTAATGGTTCCTAAGACAGTTTCCTTGTATCTACTGTGGTTCACATTTCCACATATTGTCCCATTAAAAAGAAAAACACTCTGTATACGGGCACTAATCAATAGAAACAATGTGTAATTTTTGGCAGATTGTTTTCGCAGAATAGCTCCAAATCTTTCACGGTCAGAATATAGTATTCTCATTACATCCGTATTATGCGAGGAATCGCTTACCGGTCCATTAGTATTCCTTACACGAATGAAGTTAACCTACGTCTTAGTCCATGTTCCGCGTACCTTATTGCCAATTGCCAGTCGAATATAAATAAAATTACGGCCCATTGTCTATCGACTGCTTAAGCAAACAATTAGTGCGATATAGTTTGCACTAGTTTATTCGGAATGGAACATTCAAGGGCTCTCGCTTCATAAACCACGTGCAATTATCTCGTGACCCGTTTACTTAGTATTTACTTTTATTGAAGCATTATCTTTAAAGTATTTCAACGGCATAAGTCATAAGCATTATTATCAGTAAATTCATTCATTCTTTTTTCTACTCCTGGTACTTTAACTTGTCAATTGTAAATTTCACAAACCATATCACACAGACACTCTTTTTAGTTCTGAAACAAAATTCTATTGTCTATGGTACTCACTACTGAACTGAAAATTTTCACTATAATGTGAAATTCAATGTAATTTTCGAAAAAAGAACTTTATATTTACTAATTAAAATATCAAATATGACGCTACTTAAACACGTAGAGTGTTTCCTGATTGGTTGAAATATAATCGGTACTTGGCCAATCACACTTCTATTCTATCTCTTTGGTTTTTGTTATGTAGCGTTTGTTTGGCTTTCGTTTGAGTTTGTTGTCGTGGATTGTTAACAAAAATCTTTAAATATTGATTGTATAAAAAGTATTGTCATCATTAAATAATTAGGTCTTAAAATGTCGTGTCTATTACTTAGGCCACTTGGCACGGTTCCCACCTTTAAAAACTCTCATTATGCAACAATCGCATAAAATACTATATATTTATACTAACCTTTTAACCCCTTTTTCTTCATACGAACTTCTGTAGAACCCATGAAGATTGTCATTTAACACTCCCGTATAAGTGATGTTGAGGATATATTGCTCGCCTTTTTTTAATGTTTCTCCAAGTATCAGGATATGGAACTGTCGTGGCAAGTCCTCCGTTCTTCGTATTACCGTGATCGGTTTTCCATCGGCCAATACAAACAACTTAATTTTATGAAACGTCAGCTCTACACCATGAAAGGTCACTTTATTCGTATCATTTGTCACATTCACTATTACACTGCACTCCCCGTCAAACGTAAAGTTACCTTCGTAAATGTATGGAGTTAACTTAAGGTAGTACCGATCTGGTCTAATATCGGTCGGTAATCGAACGTCTTTGACGAGCGCACTTTCCTCTTCAAAGGGAAGGTTTGTTGTAGTGTCTATTGGAAGAACACTTCTGCTGTGCTCTGTAGTTAACGGCAAAACGTGTAGTTTATCGTGATCGTGATCACAATGGGTTAGTTCATATTTGGTGACATTTGCGAGAGTATCCGTATGGGGGCACGCGGCAAAATTGTAGACCGTGAGGGAGGTGGCTATGAGTGCCAACACGAACACTGTGAGAACGACTAACGCAAGACTCTTGGAGAGGAAAATGCCTCGTTTAGCCTTGGTAGAGAAATCACAGTTGGGCGGATTGCCGTCCATGATACTTAGGGGTTCACGCGCCTGTGTCATCACATCAGTCTTATTTGAACATCGTCTGCAAAGAAAATAATATAAATATTAATGTATGTATGATTAACCGGATATTCATGTTTCTTTTGAAATGAGTTTTCTACAATTGAACGTGAGGAAACAACTGTTGATAATATAAATAAAAAATCTAATTGAAATAGCAGGATTCTCACACTTGTTGTTACGATACGAGCCGGGATGATATAATCGACTAGTTTTTATCGATTATTGCAGAGTCAAGGTAGCTATCAATGCAAGCTGTAGATGCGTGAACGTCGTATTTTATGTCTGTTATTTAATTGAAGTCTCTTAAGCCTTATTAATGTTGCGAGTGCACGCACGAGACAGCATGCCCGCCACGACGTAACTTTTCAATGCTAGGTTTTCTCATAACAATGTGTGAGGAAGTAATAATATAAAGAAGCATGTTGTAAATTTTATATGTTTATGATGTCAAATACCGCGCAAACGTGTGTCTTGTGTTGGATACAAGCAACCTGCAACTAGAAGCGAATATTCTATTTATTTATTAATAATATGTACGTCACACAAAAACGTAACAATAACATATTTATTTGCCTTGACGGTACAATTGTAACTACTGGCACAACGTCTCTTGCAAATGACGCAGAACGTACTTGTATCGACCCTGTA